GAAGCCATAAATAACCAACAATTAACCAACAATACCCCTGATAGTAGCTACATGGTGAGACCCTATCAAAAAACAAAGAAAAGAAAATGGGAAAGATATAAATTGTGATTCATTCTTTCATCCTTTAGTCCATAGGGAAGCCCAGCTAATTTAGATGGTTGGAAGCATATTATATGCCTAGAGTGATCTGGAGAGTACAGAGACACTACATCAGCTCTGGCAGACCCAATGACAGTGGATGGATTTAAGGTATTTTAGGACAATAGAGCCAATCAAGTTTGAGAAAGGATTAGGTGTGAGGGTTGAGAATCAGAAATTAATTCAAAGTGGCTCCTAGCTTCCAAGTTTGTAGCTGGAATGCATGTGATGAAGCCTGCATGTAATTCCACTCCATGGGAGGCAGGATTACTAGTAGTTCAAGGCTACTTTAGGCTACATAACACGGGGCCAGCTAAGGCTCCATGGTGAGTGGAATTATAGGAGGTTGCAGAGTGGATAGACAGGTTCAGGGCTGGTGAGATCATGGCTGGTGGAATGCATAGCTGAAAATTCCTTTTCCCTGTTGTCACAGCTCCTTCTTAGCGTTGGTCATGGCGAGTCCTTACACTATAAACCCATGGGAAGTCCCGCTGCCTCTCTGTCCCCTGGGTCTATGAGATGACTAGAAACACTACCCATTGTGTTACACAAGCTGCATGGAACCAGAGGGGCTGGGAAGGGTGGAAGCTTTCCCAAACGGGAGGCCAGAAGCCAGCACACAAAGCTCAGAGGACACCAGCGCTCTGTGATGGTGGTCCATGGATAATGATCACTCTCAGCTCACTGATGCTCCTTCTTCCCAGCAGTGGCGTGGTGAACCACAGGTGACTCTACAATTTTCCAGGTTTCCCTAACAGCTGAAAGCTCTTAGGGTCTTTCAAAAATATACTTTGTATTTTTACTGAAATTACTCAGTCAGTTTTCAAACAATGTTCTAGTAAGCTAGACATTATTCCAGGTCTAGGGATTCGGCTGTGACTGTAACAGACACAGGGAGATTAAATTCTAAGAAGAGCAGATAGTAAGCTAAATAAATTAATGAAGTATGCACAGTGCTATGGTCTGGGGCTGAAGCGCCACAGCTTGCCTCGTACGCACTAGAGTTCAGTCTCTAGTGATCAGAGTGCTCAGTGGTGTACCATTACCATATGGTGGTGAGTGTGTGTGAGATTACAGTTTTACATAAGAGCTAGTAGTTAGGTAAAGTCCTAGCTGCAATTCGTAGGGAAGTAATGACATGGGGAAGTAAGCCAAGTAGGCCATATATTTATTATTGAAAAATAGATTCTTCTCTCATACGAGGTTTGCTTGTTTTTTAAGACTGAGTCTCATTACATAGATCAGGCTGGCCTTGAGCTCACAGAGCTCCACCTGCTTCTTTCGAATCACACCTGGCAGATACCTTTTTGAACATGTTTTAGTGTGTGTGTGTGTGTGTGTGTGTGTGTGTGTGTGTGTGTGTGTGTTCCATAGTAAGTGTATAGAGGTCAGAGGACAACTTTCAGGAGCTGCTTCTCTCCGTCCCCACATGGGTCTCAGGGATGGAACTCCGATCATCAGGCTTGGAAGTGGGAGCCTCCACCCCCTGAGTCATCTCACGTCTCCCTGATAGGTATTTGAAGTATAGAACATTCCAGTAGAAAGACCAGGACACTGAAAAGATTTAGGTGTAGGAGGCAGGCTTGATGAATTCCAGGGACAACAGGAAAGCCAACATAGGGACAAAGAGAGGAAAATCAAATGGCTAGAGATGAGATCAGGGAGCCTGCTGTGACGGTGACTTAGGAAAGTACCTTTGAATGGCACGGTTCAGTTGAGTAGTTTAGAAAATGTATGTTACTGTTGTGCAGAGGACAGACAATGGGTTAAGAGAGTGAGCAGGCTGAAAGAGTATCTCAGTGATTGGGGGCCAAGGAATACCACAAAAATCACACCCGAAACAGACCTCACCTAAGAGATTTATTGGGGAGGGCGCAAAATGACTGCTTGTGAGTGGGGTTGGAGACAGTGACAGGCCAGGCCGTGATGGCAGGCTTTATGGGGGTATGGGGAATGTGCATAGGGAAAATATGGCAACAGCGGAACATGTCACACTAGCCATTAGTGATGGTGGCATGTCCAACATTCCTCCTTTTTGTTATTACAAAAGGTACAGAAGTAGGAAGGGATGACTTCTGAGGTAGTTTATAATCTAATTTTTTTTTTTTTTTTGGTTTTTCGAGACAGGGTTTCTCTGTGGCTTTGGAGGCTGTCCTGGAACTCACTCTGTAGACCAGGCTGGCCTCGAACTCACAGAGATCCACCTGCCTCTGCCTCCCGAGTGCTGGGATTAAAGGCGTGCGCCACCAACGCCCGGCAATCTAATTTTTTTAATAATGGTCTTTCACTACCTAGAACACACACACACCGTTTTCTAGGAAGTGTCACACTAAAATTAGTTCCCAGTGGTATGTAGAAACAGTTGTTCCTATCAGAACAATGACGTTAAAACGATAGAGTTGGATATGTAAATCAGAGGATAACATTGCTCTGATCAGAGCTTGGCAGCCTTAATAAACTAGAATCAGCTACCAGTCCTCATAGGCCTTTTTTTTTTTTTTCTTCCGAGACAGGGTTTCCCTGTGGCTTTCCTGGAACTAGCTCTTGTAGACCAGGCTGGTCTCGAATTCACCGAGATCCTCCTGCCTCTGCTTCTGGAGTGCTGGGATTAAAGGCATGAGACACCACCGCCTGGCTTCATAGGCCAAATTTAAGAAACAAGTAAAAGAGGTAAGGCAGACAAGGCTCCCACCTCTAATCCTAATGCTCAAGGGGCAGGCAAGAGGATCACAAAGAATTTGAGAGAGGCCAGCCTGAACTACAGAGTGAGACCCTGATTCAAAATACAAAATGAGACACATAACAACAAAAACCAAAGGACAGGGACAGAGAGAATGAATAGTTAAAAAGCAGGGAACATAGGCACGTTAGGAAGGGAAACAAAGAGGTCCAGTAACCCCTCGTCCCAAATCCATCTTTGAGGTCCTGACCTGAGGCTCACGTCTAAATCTTAGGCAGAGGTCTGAAAAACTAAGCAGTCCCGGTCAAGGTGTGGGCCTGCCCACCATTGCCCTGGCTCCAGAGTGTCCCACAAAGTGTTCTGGCAAGCTATCAGAGCTGTGTGAAACCTCTTCCTGGAAGAGTTTTCTCCCTTTTCTGGTTGGCACTAGGCTTCAGCCTTTTCTTTCTCCTAGCATGAGATTCTTGGGAACATTCTAGTTTCTTAGGGACCATTATCTAACAGCCAGAGAGAGGGGGCATAAATGTCTGTCTGTCTTCATTTCTGGCAGGGTGGGTACCAATGTTGACAAATTAGCAGAGGAACGTCTCAAAACTACTCTGCCACTTAGACATCTCTTTTTCCTGTTTCTTTAGAACTCCTCTTCTGGTGAGTATGGTCTGGCTTCCTGGAATTCCTTAGTGTTCTCTTTTCTGGTCACACAACTCAAACTTTGTTTCTCTTTCCTATACTCCAGACTCTCTTCCTTTTCCTTTTCTTTTTGTGAGACAGGGCTTCTCTGTGTAGCAGCCCTGGGTGTCCTGGAACTCACTTTGTAGATCAAGCTGACCTTGAACTCAGAGATCTGCCTGCTTCTGCCTCCTGAGGTGTGTACCATCACCGCCTGGCTACTCTAGACTTTCTTGTTTTGCATAATCCCCTGCTAAAAGTTCAGGTGTTTCAGATGTGAACCATGGTTGAAGGGTTTTAAATGTTTTAAATTTATTTTTAAGAGTCTCATATAGCCCAGGCTGACCTATGTAACTATGTAGTTGGATTTCCAACCCTGCTGTATCCACTTCCCAAGGGTTAGGAGCACAGGCACGTGCCTCAGATGGAATCTCAGGCTTCAAACACACCGGACACTCTACCAACTGAGCTACATCCAACAACCCCCTGGGAAGGTCTTTATCTTTTGTTAAAGGTTAATCTTGCATAGGCTGGAGAGATGACTCAACAGTTAAAAGAATGTGTAGCCGGGTGTTGGTGTCGCACGCCTTGAATCCCAGCACTCGGGAGGCAGAGGCAGGAGGATCTCTGTGAGTTCGAGGCCACCCTGGTCTACCGAGCGAGTTCCAGGACAGCCTCCAAAACAATGCAGAGAAACCCTGTCTCGAAAAAAAAAAAAAAAAAAAAAAAAGAATGTGTAACTTTTTGCAGCCAACAAGAGTTTGGTTCCTAGCACCATGCCTGGTGGCTCACAGCCTCCTGTGACTCCAGCCAGCTACAGGGTATCAAGCTAGAAAGGCAGGAACGCCTGCCCTTCACGACTTCCGGTCTCCACTGTATGCTTATAGCATATGCACATCTAGACAAAAATATAATCTTTCTCAAAAGCTAAATCTTCTGGAAGTTAAATCTTACCATTTGTCTTTTGTTGCAGTTTTCATCTCTCCTAAAGGTTGCCAGCCTCAAATGGGGGCGATCACTTAGAAGGTCTCCTTGCTTACCCCGTCCCATGACTGTCCACAGTCCACCAGTTGCCCATCTGGGGCCACTGGCTTTCTTGTCCCCTTATAAGCTCCTTCAAAGCATGCGAGTGTGTGCTATGTTGAAAATTACTTCTACTATTTAACAGGTCAAACAGAAAGTGGCAATCACATTTCAGGTACTCTTCAGGGACCCATGTCGGACACTGAAAGAAAACTGAGGCTATAGTATACTGGGCTGGACAAGGTAAGGGCCCACCGGGCCACCTACATATTATGCACACTTAGAAGGTTCAGGAATTGTTACTACTGGCTACATTTGGTTTCTTCAACCTTGGGCAGGGCCGGGTGTCGGTCCCAGACGGCTCGCCGTGGGGGCGTGGCCACACAGCCTCACGCACCCGCGTCTGTCGGGCCCCGCCCCCTCGAGACGCGCTGCCTTTCGGGGCTTGTAGTCCCAAGCCCCACCGGAAGGCGTGAAGGGCAGGCGTTCCTGCCTTTCTACGCTCGAGGTCACCTCTCCTTAGCGCTCCCTCGTTCTCAGGCGTGGCCTCCTGGAGCGCCACGGCCCTCGGCTGCGCAGTTCTTCTGGTTTTCAATAAAGTTTTCCTCCCTGTACGGCGTTCAAGATGGCGGCCTCCTGGTCGCCCTTGGTTACCCTGCGCTCCGCCGCGCGCGGCCGGCTGACGGGGAGAGGTGTTGGGTGCGGGGCGCGGGCCGTCGCAATCCCTCCTCCGGCCCCTGGCCCTGGGAGACCCCTTTGGAAAGGTCAGTGACCGTGTCACCTAGCGGGCCGCGCAGGCTCTGGGGTCCCCCCAGTCCCTGATCACTCATTCCCAGCTGCACCAGCTTCGCAGCTTTTAAGGACCCTAGGGAAGATTTCGTGTCCCCTTGACTTTTTTTTTTTTTTTTTTTTTTTTTTTTGGTACCTCGTCCTGAAGGAGCTCCGAGCACCCCAGGCAGCTACCTCGAGATTAACTTCCATTTGAGGGCCAGAGGTCAACCCAGGTCTCTCCTAGGCAGCCGAGAGCTGGAGAGCTCAGGTGTGCAAGTGCCTGGCTTGGAGGGATGAGGTGACAAGTGTGGAGTCGGTGTCTGGGGCCCTTCCACCCAACACCCAACACCACCCAGGTTCTCAGGGCTGATAATGGGCTTAAAGCTCCCCCACCGGCCCTGTGACCGCTCCCCGCCCCCGTCCTGGAAACAGTCTGGAATGAGGAGCCCAGAGCAGTTCTCAATGGTCAAATTACTGGAGGTGTCAGGTTTTGTTTTGTTACTGGGCCTGTATTCGCTTGTTGTACTGTTGTGCGCTCGTGAATGAGTGGATTATATGTTGACTAACCAAGCCCACCAGAGTGCTAATTTATCGTTTGAGACATGGTCGCACTGTGTGGGGCAGGCTGGAACTTGAGATCCTCCTGCTTCAGTTGCCCAGGAGGGCTAATTTTACCCCGATGTTCACTGAACTGCTGGTTACTGACAGACGTCGAACCCTGTGGGTGCCATTGTTTCTCTGCCACTTAGGGGGTGATTGGTGTCTGATGAGCAGATATTTTCGAATGAATGAAGTTATTCTCACGGTCTCCCCGTGCACAACCCTGCTTTTCCTTTTCTCATCTCCAAGTACCTCTTTATATAACTTAATAAGTTGATATAATGTAACAAAGCATGCAGGTTAGTACTGATTTTTTGCATCTCAAAATGTATCCTTCAGCCATTGAAATTAATACTAGAACTATTGGCCTTAGATGGCTCACCTGGCAAAAAGTCTGCTATCAAGTCTGAGTTCAGTACCCAGGATGCTTATGGTGGAAGGAGAGGACCACGGGGATTGGTTATTTAGGGTTCACACTTCTGATTTATCTCCATTTTTTTTCTTGTTTGAAGTTTCATTTAGGAAAGCATTGGCTTAAACAAAGGAAGGAAATAAGTAATGGAAAAGAATGTAAGGGAAGGAAGGGCAGGCTCCTGCTTATTCTTGGCACTACTGTGCTTGAACACAGGGTCTCCTGTGTGCTAGGCCAGCCCTTTCTGCCGCCGAGCTTGTCAGTTCTCTTCCTTTTGTTCTGAGATGGGGTCTAGATTGCATCCTGGGCTGGCCCTGTAGTCCTCCTTCCTCTAACTCCTGAGCAGCTGGGATTGCAGGCCTACGCCACCCGGGCTGGTGGGTCATCCCTTAGTTATTTTTTAACATCTATTTTATGTGTATGAGTGTTTGCCTGCATTTGTGTATGTATACCACTAGTGCCTGTAGTGGCCGGAAGAGGATGTCAGGTCTCCCAGAGCTATAGTCACAGGCAGTTACAAATTGCCATGTGGAGCCAGGTGGTGGTGGCACATACCTTTAATCTCAGCACCTGGGAGGCAGAGGCAGGCGGATCTCTGTGAGTTCGAGACCAGCCTGGTCTACAAGAGCTAGTTCCAGGACAGCCTCCAAAGCCACAGAGAAACCCTGCCTCAAAAAACCAAAACCAAACAAACAAATTGCCATGTGGGTGCTAAGAACTAAGCCTGAGTTCTCTGTAAGAACAACCAGTGCTCCTTTAATTTTGTTTTTAATGTCTTATGTTACTTTAATGCCAGGCCAGGCTTACTTATTTTGTAAACTCAACCTTGAAAAGCTTATGGGCCCTTAAGAAGCACAACATTATGAATTTCATTTGGGGGTATGTACATTTCTATTAGGTGGATTTTGATATTTTCCATTTTTTTTTTTTTTTTTGGTTTTTTCGAGACAGGGTTTCTCTGTAGCTTTGGAGGCTGTCCTGGAACTCACTCTGTAGACCAGGCTGGCCTCGAACTCACAGAGATCCGCCTGCCTCTGCCTCCCGAGTGCTGGGATTAAAAGGCGTGCACCACCAACACCCGGCCTATTTTCCATAATTTCAATCATTGATTTCACTACCTGTTTTCCTTAGGTCTCAGTAAATCTTCATTTAATGTACAAGTTTTAAACCTCCCCCTACCCTCCAAGACAGTGTTTGTCTGTGTAGTATTGACTGTCCTGGAACTCACAGAGATCCGCCTGCCTCTCCCTCCCCAGTGTTGGGATTAAAGGCGTGTGCCACCACCGCCTGCTAGTTTTAAACCCCTTAATGGTTAAAAGGAAGAAGACCTTTATTAGACAGCAGAGTGGCTATCTGTGCTTGGGGGCACAGGCAATAATCTTAATGCATGTTGCCTGATCATAATGTCATATCAGGTTTGAGCCAGCCTACATAGTGAGTTCAAGTCCAGCTCTGTTGCAGCATAGGAACAAACACCTAACAACAGCAAAAAATCATATTGGCCAGGGTATGGGTAGAAGAAATGTGACAACATTGTTAATTCAGTTTAAGTCTTGGCTACTAAATATAAGGAGATGTGTGAATAAACTGGGTCCTAGGCCTTGCAAAGGAGATAGAACTGTGACACCTAATATTTGATAGCTAATATGTGATGAACCCTTTCTTTTTTTCTTAAAAGAATTACACACACACACACACACACACACACACACACACACTCACACTCGTATTTGAACCAGGGTCTTGGCTGGAGCTGGCCTGGAACTCACTTGCTTTTTAGTTCACTAGGCTGGCCCCAAACTTGCAATCCCTGTCTTGGCCTCCCAGCTGCGGTTACAGGTGTGGGCCACCAGGCCCAGCTGAGCCTTTTCTATATTCTAGGCAGACTGCTAGTCATTTTTCTTACACTCTGAGTTCCGTTTGTTTGTGTTGTCAGCCAAGTGTGCAGAGAACAGCATATGACCCTTACTGGTTTTTATGCTTCTGAGGGAGAGCAGCCAGAGACGAAGCTGGGATGGGGAGCTGCTGTGGGTTTCAAAGAGCTGTTGATGCCAAGGGAGCTGTCCACACTTAGATGCTGTAGAGCTTTCTTAGGAAGAAATGTGGTCAGATCTGTTTCAGCACCGTGTGCTCCCGGGGATGCCAGCGTGGGTGACTGAGATAGCGTGGGAACTGGGAAGGAAGGTCAAGTAATTGAGAAGGCAGTGTGACCAGGCCTAAGTGTTTGCTAAGGAGAAAGACAGGAGGAACTCAGAGATGGCCGCTTGATAGACGTGAGAGTTGTGCAAGAGATAAGGAAAGTCTGTTAATATCGATGTGTAGTTGCTAGGCTGGGTACCTAAGGGAAACTAAGTGAAAACAGGAAAGGAGCCCAACAGGAGCAATTCCACTTTCTGACTTTAAAGTTTCTTCACAAAACAACTCCGGTCCCGTGGAGGGGCTGCAAGCACTTAGAACCGCCGAGCCGTCTCCCCAGCGTCAAGGTTCGGTTTTTGATTTGTTAAATTTGGGGTGATTGTGATGGTGCTGGGCAGACATCTCGGCTGGTGTGGGATGTGACAGGGAGGAAGAAATTGGAGGCAACGTGAAGCAGGATGGAGGCCTTGCCTGGGCAGGTTTGTAGGGTGGAAAGTGAAAAATCTGAGTCCCGAGGAAACATGTTATAAAAAGAAGGGGCCTCCAAGAAACGCAGAGGGAGGGCATGGAGAACTAGGGTGCACACCAAAAGGGAGGGATCTCTAGGTTTCCCAAAATATGAAAATTTCTGTCTAAAATTCTGCTTTATTTAAGGTGGCCTAGGAAAAGTGTGTTTTGTAGAGGCAAGGGATTTTGAGGGTCGGATCTCATGATTTCCCTTTGGTATAGCATTCTTTTGAAGCATGTACTATTTTTTTAGGTGTTGCTATTAGACGATAAGTCCTTTTTAACCTTCAGCTCACAATCTCATCTCAGTCCATGAACATAAGAGAGCTTCCCAATGAGAGTTCAAATAGCGCTGAGCCCGGTTCACCGAGTGGCGTGGTGGAATTATTAGTAGTCTAAAATGGTCGTAGGACCTGTGTGTGTGTCTGCTGTGTGTGTGTCTGCTGTGTGTGAGTGTGTGTGTGTCTGCTGTGTGTGAGTGTATGAGCTGTGACTCACATGTGAACCTTAGATGACAACTTTGTGGAGTCACTTCTCTCCTTCCACCTTTATATAGGTCCAAGGATCAAACTCAGGTGGTCAGGCATATGCAGCCAGCACCTTTACCTGCTGAGCCATCTTGTTGGCTGGGGCTAGCTCTTCGCATTTCTTCTATTATTGTTCTCATTGCAGAGGCTGCTCTTATCAACTTGTTTCCTCTCTGTGTTCTCTACCAGGTGGCAGTTCTCAGTTATGAAGTAACAGAGGTTGAACATGCAATTCTTTTTTTAAAGTCCATGTTTTAAATGTATTCTTTGACAACTTAATACATGTATACATGTGCTTTGATCTTCTATACTCCCTCCAGATTCTCTCAGCATAAGCCCCTTACATCTTGTCCACTCTTCCTTCCTTCCTTCCTTCCTTCCTTCCTTCCTTCCTTCCTTCCTTCCTTCCTTCCTTCTTTTTTGCTCAAGACAGAGTCTCACTATGTAGCTCTGGATTTCCTAGAACTCACTGGACTCAAACTTACAGAGATCTGATTGCCTCAGCTTCCCGTGTGCTGGGATTAAAGGCATGTGCCACTACACCCAGCTTTATTGTCTTATAACCACCAAGTGTTGCCTATATGAGCATGGTGTGGGGTGGACACTGGAGAATGGGCAGCCTATGAGGGGCTACTCTACCAAAGAAAAATTGTTCTTCCCTCAGCAGCCATCAATTACTAATAACTCCTCAGCTAGGGGTAGGTGCTGTGGACCCCTTCCTCACTCATGCTTGGATACTGGCTGGCTTGAGCCTGTGCGTTCAGCCACAGGTGAGTTCGTGCATGCGGCAGCTGTGTCATACTTAGAATAC